GTCAGCAGGCCAAAGCCAGCCCAGGAATTGCCAATTTGTAATTTATGTCCTGGAGGTTAAAGTGGATATCTAACACTAGAATATCTGGGCATTCAAGATAGCCTGACTTGTACATTCTTAATAGGCAATCTAGATGAAAAAGAAAAATTATTAGAAGATTATAGGGAGCATAGGGTCAGAACAAAAATGATATGTAATTTGAACATGTATCTCCAGAACAGAGTACATATCTGCCAGCTAGACTGTATCTCTGCTCTGATCTTTTCTAGGTTTTTTGTGTTGTTTTGTTGTTCGTTTCTTCATTTCATAATTTAACCTACCAGTGGTAAACTTATTTCATTTGTTTTATTTTCAGAGAGGAGTGTGTGTCAGAGCAATTATTGTCTGGCTCATGTACTTACTGCCTGTGACTACAACCCTGAAGGGTATGTGTATTAATCCCATTTTTGCTGACGAAGAAACTGAGGTTCAGTGAAATGAATGAACTACTCTGTCACAAAACCGTAGGTGACCAAGTTGAAGTTGAAATCCTGGTCTGTTTGGCTCCAGTTTAATCTCTTGCTACAATACCACAATACTGTTTCTCTAGTTCTGACTTTATTATTTGCCCCCAAATGCAAAAACAGGAGTAGGGAATAATCATGGGATTTCTCTTAGGTTCTGTAGTTACACTGCAAGAAGAAAACACATTTAGTATAATCATCTCGAGACTCCACGAGCAAGAATTACTGCCTCCAGATAAATTCCTAAAAGTAGGATTACTCGGTAAACTTGTCTGCACATTTTCTTAAACTTTTAGTGTTTATTAGCAAATTGCCGTTTAAATAAGCTGTACCTACCAAGTAACTTAATTCCCAGCAGATTATGAGTTACCTCTTTCCTGTACTACTACTACTAATGATAATAATACTTACATAGTGCATACTATGAGCAGGAAACTTGTAGGTGCTTAAAATATGTTAATTTATTTGATTATCAAAATAGTCCATCATTTTATAAATGAAGAATACTGAAGTACAGAAAAGTTAAGTTACTTGCCAAAGTCATGCAGTTTACAATCAGAGGTAATAGAACCAGGATTTGAACTTAGGCAGTCTTTATTATGTCAAAATTGGATATTATATTGGTCTTTTAAATTTTATAGACAAAAAGTATTTCACAGTTACTTTAATTTGTATTTTTTTATTTAAAGAAGATAACATATTTTTTTCCTTCCTTTTCTCCCTTTCTTCTTTCCTTTTTCTTTTCATTCTGACTTTTTTTTTTCTTTTGTAAGATACTAGTTAATATCCTTTGCCTATTTTTCCCTTGGAGTGTTCATTTTTTAAAAATTTGTAAGAAATGTCTGTATGTCATGGATAGATCTCATGTGTTATATATGTTGCATTTTTTTGTTTGTCTTTAACTGCTTAATTTTTATTACATTGTTGATATATAGTTTAAAATTCTTATTTAATGAAATCTATTAATCTTTCCATTCATGATTTTTCTTTGTTGTTTTCATCAGGTTACCATCATGCCTAGCTTATGTAAATATTTGCCCTAACATATTTCTGCAAATTTTATGATTTCATTTTTTAATCTAGAATTTATTTTGATATTTAACTTAAAAGTTCATTGATGGCACTCTTTCCACCTTTTCAAAACTGTTAGGGGGTTATTATTTTTCTCATTTCTGTCACTTCAGTGGGATTTGGTAAAGAGAGAGGGTAAAAACCATAAGCTTAGCAGCCACTATGAACAAAATAGCTGATTTTTAAAATAACTAGTTATTTACTTTCTTGTAACCCAGGCTGGAGTGTGGTGGCATGATGAAGGCTTACTGCAAATTTCACCTCCCAGGCTCAAGTGATCTTCCCACATCCTCCCATGTAGCTTGGATTACAGGCACTAGCCATCAAGCTCAGCTAGTTTAAAAAAACAAATTGTAGAGATGGGGTCCTGCCATGTTACCCAGGCTGTTCTTGAACCTGGACTCAAGGAATATGCCTGACTCGGCCTCCCAAAGTGTTGGGATTACAGGCATGAACCACTGCACCTGGCCTTGTTCATTTTCTTACATGTCTCTCACATAGTTTAAGATCTTCTACTTCTGGAATGTATTTTGACCATATCTATCTTCCTAGAAATGTAGTCATCAGGACTGAGGTGTTTTTTTTTTTTTTTTTTTTTTTTTTTTGTCATTAGCCAATATTTTTACAACGCATTTCTTTTTTACTAAAAAAAAAAAAAAAATCCCTTTCATCTGTGACTAAATTTTATTCACACAATACTAGTTTGTATATTTTTCTTGGTGTGCTTTCTTTGTTTCAGCTAATTAATGCTGTGCTTTTCACTAATGAGGATATGTATGTTCGACTACTAAAATGTTAATTTTATTTCATTGTAACTTAAAACATTAACAGTAATATATTTTGAAGTAAAATGTCAAAAAAATCACATAATTTTTAAGGTAAAGAAAGAGAATGCGAAGAAATGTGTTTGTGGAAAGTTTCTTTAAGAGGGTGAGTATGGTTTTGCCCCTCTGATGTGTATTTTGGTGGGGGAATTGTCAGGCAAGACAATCACCAATTAATAAAGATTTGTGTATTTGACTTGATTCTTCAAATATCTTCTTAGATTTACTTAACAAATTTTATTTTTTCTGTTTGTTAATTCATTAATATTTGCTTTTATCATTCTATAGCTGTCACCCCGTTTCCCTCCTTTTATTTTCCGTTGTCTTCTTTATTCAAATGCCTACTTCACTTATTTTCAATCTTTTATTTGATATTTTAAATCTTTGAATGTATAAATTTGACTCTGAGTTCATCCACATAGTACTTAATAAATGAAATAATATTAAACTGGAGCTTGACACAAATGCAGCTTCCAGTGCACTGCTTATTTCAGTAGGTTTGGCATGGGGCCTAGAAACATGCATTCTTAACAATGTTCTCAGATCACACGTAGAAAATTCCTAGCATTATTGTTGCTGTACATGCTCTCATTATCATTATTTTGGTAAATTTATTCTAATAAGAACATTGCACTTTGTCCCAAAATTATTCAGTTTTGTTTTAATAATCAAATGATTGGTTTTTTGTTCATACTTTGATTATTAATATCTAGCTTTATTCTATTGAAATTAAAGATTACCTATAATATTTTCATATTCTCACCACCCATGATTAACTGTTGCTGATATTTTACCATACTTGCCTTCATTTTAAAGATAAAAAGCATTTTTACATATTTAAGTTCCCTTTAATCACTAGCCTATATCCTGTTCCATTTCTTCATCCTCATGTGTGCAAGTTTGGTATATTTCTAAAAGAATATTTCAAATATACATAAGAATGTATTAGAATGCTGTTTGGCATGTATTAGGTTGGTGCAAAAGTAATTGTGGTTTTAGCCATTACTTTCAATGGCAAAAACCATTATATAATAGTAACAATTCATTACTTTCAATGGCAAAAACCGCAATTACTTTTGCACCACCCTAACACTAATTAATTTAGCTTTTTAGATCTATACATATTAACATATTTAAAGCTAGTCATTCTTTTACCTCTGTATTTTATTAATTATATTAAACATACTATATTATTCCATTTCTCCATCAATGGATATAACATACCTGTATATATATTTTTTTCTTATCTTGAGATTTATTAAAGTATTTGTGACCTAATGAGTTTGAAATGCTGTTAAATGTTCAAATCAGTGGTTCTTTGGTGGCTGCTTGGTAGAGGGTGGGGGTGGGGGAATAATTTTTTGTGTGGTTTAACCTAGAGTTAGAAATATATAGATAAATTTGAAATTATTTCTTCTATTTTTCAAGTTCTCTTTCTCAGCATTGCTACATCTTTATTGCTCTTACTTAATCTGTAATGAAATTAGGTAAATATGTCAATGTTTGCCACTACTGTTATGTGCCTGTCAATTTCTACCCATACTCTTCCCCAAAATACCTTTCTGTAGTGCATACTTACAAAAATCATCAGAAAATTCAAAATCTTATGAAAGTAGAAAATAAGAATTATTCATAATTTCAGCAAACAGTACTAACAGCCATTAACTTATTTGTGTATAGCCTTTCAGATTTTTTTACACATACGGTTTACATATACAACTAACTGTTCAAAAATTGCTTTTCAAATAAAAATATATTGTATTTTTGATATTGGAACATACATTCTTATATAGTTTTTAACTGTACAGAAATATACAAAGGCAAAATTGAAAATACTCTGTGATTTCCCTATAACTACAGTTTAGTTCATGTATACCTTTAAAGACACTCTATGTTTTCTTGTATGGTAATATTATGTGCTCGACTAATCTTATGTAAACAGATATTTAATATATTTAAATAACGTTTTAAATGCTACAATGTATATACATTTTATACATAAATAGTTTTGCATCCTCATACGATTATTAGGCGAATTGTCTAGGTTAGGCATTTCTAAATAAAGGTGTAAACATTCAAAATGCTGATATATATTTTCAAATTGCCCTATGGTTGTAACAATTCACACTTCAACTAGCCTGAGAGTGCATTTTTTAGGGTCCCTGTCGACAAGAAGGTTTATCATTATTTTTTTTCCCTGCCAATATGATAAGCCAAAAGTAGAATTTTATTGTTTTAACTTGAATTTTTTTTGATTGCTAGTGAAATTAATCATCTTTTTTTAAATGTCTATTGGCCATTTGCACTCCTTTTGTAAAATGCATGCTCCTGCTGTCTTCTTCCCTTCCCCCATTGGGGGTGTTCCTCTTTCTTTTTGCTTTGTCAGAGTTCTTTATTATTCATTTTTCGTCTTATATGCTGGATCGGTTCGATTCAGGCTTTCACCCTTTTACTGCCTTACAGATTGCTAATATACATTCTCCATTGGTCTTTTAATGTGGTTTACAGAAGCTGACTCTCTACCGCCTCCTTCTCTCCGTCCCACCCTCTCTGCCTCGCCTGCTCTGTACTGTTCTGTTCTCTTCTCTCTCTCTCCCTTTGTTTCGCTCTCTCCCTTTTTTTCTTTTCAGTGCAGAAGTTTTTAATTTTGACCGAGCCAAATCTATCAATCTAGGCCTGGCGCCGCGTCAGCAGAGGGGGCGGGGAGGCGAGCGCCGAACTGGGGGAGGGGAAGGGGCGGGGAGCAGCAGGCGGAGCGGCTGCCAGAGTTGCTGGGAGTGCGCGCGGTCGGATCACAAGGCGGCGGAGGAGGAGGCCCAGAGACCGGAGCGCGGAGACCTCAGCTCGCGGCCTACGCCCAGGCCTTTCTCCATCGGAGGACCAGGGAACCGCAGTCTTCATCAGAGAGGTACCGTGCTCCGCGCTCCCCGCCCGACCCGGCCCAGCCCGCTGCGGCGGCGCCTCCTTCCTTCCTCCTTCCCTCGCTCTCTCTCTTTCGCCCGCCCGCGCCTTCCCTGCCCGCCTGCGTCACCGCGGCCGCCATGGCTGAGAATGGCGAGAGCAGCGGCCCCCCGCGCCCCTCCCGCGGCCCTGCTGCGGCCCAAGGCTCGGCTGCTGCCCAGGCTGAGCCTAAAATCATCAAAGTCACTGTGAAGACTCCCAAAGAGAAAGAGGAGTTCGCGGTGCCCGAGAACAGCTCGGTTCAGCAGTTTAAGGAAGCGATTTCGAAACGCTTCAAATCCCAAACCGATCAGCTCGTGCTGATTTTTGCCGGAAAAATCTTAAAAGATCAAGATACCTTGATCCAGCATGGCATCCATGATGGGCTGACTGTTCACCTTGTCATCAAAAGCCAGAACCGACCTCAGGGCCAGTCCACGCAGCCTAGCAATGCCGCGGGAACTAACGCTACCTCGGCGTCGACTCCCAGGAGTAACTCCACACCTATTTCCACAAATAGCAACCCGTTTGGGTTGGGGAGCCTGGGAGGACTTGCAGGCCTTAGCAGCCTGGGCTTGAGCTCTACCAACTTCTCTGAGCTCCAGAGCCAGATGCAGCAGCAGCTCATGGCCAGCCCTGAGATGATGATCCAGATCATGGAAAATCCCTTTGTTCAGAGCATGCTTTCGAATCCCGATCTGATGAGGCAGCTCATTATGGCTAATCCACAGATGCAGCAATTGATTCAGAGAAACCCAGAAATCAGTCACCTGCTCAACAACCCAGATATAATGAGGCAGACACTCGAAATTGCCAGGAATCCAGCCATGATGCAAGAGATGATGAGAAATCAAGACCTGGCTCTTAGCAATCTAGAAAGCATCCCAGGTGGCTATAATGCTTTACGGCGCATGTACACTGACATTCAAGAGCCGATGCTGAATGCCGCACAAGAGCAGTTTGGGGGTAATCCATTTGCCTCCGTGGGGAGTAGTTCCTCCTCTGGGGAAGGTACGCAGCCTTCCCGCACAGAAAATCGCGATCCACTACCCAATCCATGGGCACCACCGCCAGCTACCCAGAGTTCTGCAACTACCAGCACGACCACGAGCACTGGTAGTGGTTCTGGCAATAGTTCCAGCAATGCTACTGGGAACACGGTTGCTGCCGCTAATTATGTCGCCAGCATCTTTAGTACCCCAGGCATGCAGAGCCTGCTGCAACAGATAACTGAAAACCCCCAGCTGATTCAGAATATGCTGTCGGCGCCCTACATGAGAAGCATGATGCAGTCGCTGAGCCAGAATCCAGATTTGGCTGCACAGATGATGCTGAATAGCCCGCTGTTTACTGCAAATCCTCAGCTGCAGGAGCAGATGCGGCCACAGCTCCCAGCCTTCCTGCAGCAGATGCAGAATCCAGACACACTGTCAGCCATGTCAAACCCAAGAGCAATGCAGGCTTTAATGCAGATCCAGCAGGGGCTACAGACATTAGCCACTGAAGCACCTGGCCTGATTCCAAGCTTCACTCCAGGTGTGGGGGTGGGGGTGCTGGGAACCGCTATAGGCCCTGTAGGCCCAGTCACCCCCTTAGGCCCCATAGGCCCTATAGTCCCTTTTACCCCCATAGGCCCCATTGGGCCCATAGGACCCACTGGCCCTGCAGGCCCCCCTGGCTCCACCGGCTCTGGTGGCCCCACTGGGCCTACTGTGTCCAGCGCTGCACCCAGTGAAAGCACGAGTCCTACATCAGAATCTGGACCCAACCAGCAGTTCATTCAGCAAATGGTGCAGGCTCTGGCTGGAGCAAATGCTCCACAGCTGCCGAATCCAGAAGTCAGATTTCAGCAACAACTGGAACAGCTCAACGCAATGGGGTTCTTAAACCGTGAAGCAAACTTGCAGGCCCTAATAGCAACAGGAGGCGACATCAATGCAGCCATTGAAAGGCTGCTGGGCTCCCAGCCATCGTAATCACATTTCTGTACCTGGAAAAAAAATGTATCTTATTTTTGATAATGGCTCTTAAATCTTTAAACACACACACAAAATCGTTCTTTACTTTCATTTTGATTCTTTTAAATCTGTCTAGTTATCAGTCTAATATGATGCATTTTAAGATGGAGTCCCTCTTTCCTACTTCCCTCACTCCCTTTCTCCTTTGCTTATTTTTCTTTCCTTCCCTTCGTCTTGTCTCCCCCTTCCTCCCTCTTTGTTTCCTTCCTTCCTTATTTCCTTTAGTTTCCTTCCTTATCCGATTTGAATGGTGGGAATCAATGCTGTTTCACTCAAAAGTGTTGCATGCAAACACTTCTCTTTATTCTGCATTTATTGTGATTTTTGGAAACAAGTATCAGCCTTCACAGTTGGGTGAACAAGTGTTGTCCTACAGATGTCCAATTTATTTGCATTTTTAAACATTAGCCTATGATAGTAATTTAATGTAGAATGAAGATATTAAAAACAGAAGCAAATTATTTGAAGCTCTCTAATTTGTGGTACGATATTGCTTATTGTGACTTTGGCATGTATTTTTGCTAGCAAAATGCTGTAAGATTTATACCATTCATTGATCTTTTTTGCTATATTTGTATACAGTACAGTAAGCACAGTTGGCACTGTACATCTAAAAATATTACAGTAGAATCTGAGTGTAATATGTGTAACCAAAATGAGAAAGAATACAAGAAATGTTTCTGGAGCTAGGTATGTCTCACAGTTTTGTAGAATCTTACAGCATCTTTGATAAACTTCTCAGTGAAAATGTTGGCTAGGCAAGTTCAGTTAAAATATAGTAGAAATGTTTATCCTGGTATCTCTAAGTATACATTTAATTGTACAGAAAATTTACAGTGTAACATTGTGTCAACATTTGCAGATTGACTGTATATGACCTTAATCTTTGTGCAGCCCGAAGGATCAGTGTAGTAATGCCAGGAAAGTGCTTTTTACCTAAGACTTCCTTTTCAACTTCTCCCATAAAGAGACCCTAATATGCATTTTGATTTGTAATTGGAAATGTAACTTTCACTGAAAGTGTCATGTGATGTTTGCATTACTTTTAACTGCTATGTATAAAGGAAAGTGTATCTTTTGACTTCATCAGTTATTTCTCTTGTGCACAGAGAAAAATGCATTAAAAATGACTAAAAAAAAATAAAAAATTAAAAAATGGATAAATCTTTTTCTTTTTGCCTTTTGGCCCTAGGATCGTGTTTAGGAGGGTTATCCCACCCCAAGATTATATAAATCTTATCCTGTATTTCTCTAACTTATATGGTTTCATTAAGAAAATGTTTTGTCCTGTCTGGAATTATCTTGATGTATGGATTTAGGTATTCTAACTTTTTTGCCCCAAAGGTTAGCCAGTTGTTAACATATTTATCTTTTCCCCCAACATATGAAATGTCATACATGTATATACTTTATTCTGTGTTTGGATTCCCTTTAGTTCCATTGAACATTGTGGCACCAGTACACCAGCCTGTAGATGAGTTAGAAATGGGACTTTGTATCTGTTAATGTGAGACCTCCTCTTGATCTTTTTTATTTTTTACAATTTTCTGATGATTCTGACATGTTTATTTTACCAGATGAATTTTACGGTTAATAGATTCTTCCCCAAAAAATATATTTAATTTGGTTGGGATTCTCTTAAATTTATATGACTATGAGGACTACAGAATTGCATTGCTTTCCAGAAACATATGTTGCCTTGTTTCTAAAAAACTTTATATATCCTTCAAGAGAGTTTTATTTAAATCCTATATAATTTGTAATAAATATGTTCCTAGGTAATACAGACATACAGGGAACACATTGATACTGCTTATTGGAGCTTTTAATATGTTACCTATGTGGTCATTTTTGCTATATCGGAGAAGAATTTATTTGCATAGATTATTTTAAATTGGCAATTTATTGAAATCTATTAATTTTAGAGATATTCATTTGATCCTTTTGAGTTTTTCCAGGTGAGAAATCCCATCCATGATGTTATAATTATATGTTTTACTTTTCAAAATTTATAACATAGTTTCTGACTGCATGGGTTAAACATTTTCATAACAGTGCTAAATAATAAAGGTGGCAGTGGCATTTTTGTCTTGTTTCTCATTTTAGCCAGAATGTGTTTGCTACAGCAATTCCAAATTGTGTTTTGTGAAAAAAAATATTCTTCTGGGACACAGGTAAATACGTTTGCAAAATGCTGTATACTTTAATCTCTCTTGGAGACTCATTGTGCAATAAATGTTGGCTAGTATTTTTTTTTTAATGAGTAGCTTCTTCAATTAAAAAAAAAAACTATTTAACTTTGTGTAACTCAGCATTTTCCGAACTTATTTAAGCACAGAACCACCTTTTTTTTGTTTTCTTTTAAACACACCTAATAACATTTGGCCTGTCGGTGTTCCTCAGAACACCAACTTAGGAAATGGTGATTTATTATTTCATTACCATATCATGCCAAGTATTTGACATAATCACAAAGTCTGTCATAATGAATTCAGTAATTTTAATGACAGATGATTTTATATGGAAGTGAATACTAAAATTGTAGGCATAGAAAATAACAAGAAATCAATCATCAATGCATAGTAGAAACTGGATATTGGCTGAGGCCTGGCTCAGACAGTTTAGCAGATCAGTTTCTTTCAAACACTCAAGGAACAGAGAATTATTTAATTAGCTTTGCCAAATGTTTATTTTTAAGTGTATTTTGTTTTCTCTTGGAAAAGATCTAGGTCTTTAATTTATTAAGTCTACCATTATTTTGCTTCTGAGTTTATTAATTTTTGCTTATAACTTCATTTATTTCGCCCTTTTAAAAATTCTTCCTCCATCTCTTAAATGATGTAATTTCCTCCTATTATGTTGCAGGATCTTTTTAAAGGCTCTGTTTTTGTTTTGGGTTTTCTTCATCTACTGTTGATCCAAGATTTATCCATTTATTCATCATTGAATCAAGAAGGGTATATCCTAACCTGCTATCCCTCCCCCTCCAACAAGAGTGGAACAATTTTTTTGTATCCATGCACTGTTTACTGGGTTGTCACCCCATCCAACAAGAGTGGATCAGTTTTTTTATATCCATTCCCTGTTTACTGGGTTGTCACCCCCTCCCAATGGCTCTGTGATCCAGCAAGATGTGGTAGCAGGGAGGGAGCTAGTGCCGGGGCAAACCCAGCAGGATGACTTCACCCTCAAGACAGCTTTCCTCATTTGCTTTTGGCCTCTGTTTCAGGTACGTGATATCATATATACTTTCACTACTTGTGTGGGAGGGGAGGGGCAGGAGGGGGCAGATAAACAACTTGGAAACAAAACCTGTTGGTTCATTAAAGGGGACTCTTGCATCAAGTTGAGATCACCATGGTAGTTGAGAAACTATGATCAGGAGACACCTGTATTTGGGTGTGGACAAGCTTGCCCTCTGAGAGAGGACAGCCTGCTCCATTTTATATTGATCTGCAGTGTCAAAATAGGACCAAATGGACTAATTCCTATTAGGGCCTAGCCTAGTGATCAGGGTTGGGATGTCAGGAAAGCAATTTGGTCTGTGTCTCATAATTCAAAAAGGGATTCAAATTCAGACTTTTGACATTATCCTAAATGAATTGATAACTCTAGCCACAAAGCCAGACCTGATGGAAAACGTTCGTCATACAGCTTAATTTAGTATATGTAAAAAAATTAAATTATTTGGCAATTTTGATATTCCTAATTTAGTAGTATTTTATTTAAAAAATATACCGAGGCCAGGTGCAGGGGCTCACGCCTGTAATCTCAGTACTTTGGGATTCCAAGGTGGGCAGATCACTTGAGGTCAGGAGTTTGAGACCAGCCTGGCCAACGTGGTGAAACCCCATCTCTACTAAAAATACAAAAAAATTAACCGGGCGTGGTGTTGCACACCTGTAATTCCAGCTACTCGGAAGGCTGAGGCACGAGAATTACTTGCACCCACGAGGCGGAGATCGCAGTGAGCTGAGATCACACCATTGCACTCCAGCCTGGGTGACAGAATGAGACAATGTCTCATAGAATTAAGGACCTATTCTCATGCCACCATTTTCCCAGAATTCTGTTAGAAGACTTAGGGGAAAAGCAGTTTTCTATAAATAGAAAGGAGAAGCATGATTCAGCAGATACCAGACTGAAGCCACCTCAAAAAAGCAGGCTTCATCAGGTAGTGCACATGCTTGCATAGGCTTTACACACTTTGACCATGGGTAAAAACCCTTGGCAAAAGCTGCTGTAAACCAACAAATTCAAAAGTGTGGGTAATGTCATTTTAAAAAGGAGTTGTTTGTCCCAGCATTCAAGGACAACATTTATTTGTCCAGTGGGTATGAATTGAGGCATATAGCTCCAGCTGTATTGAGGTATCTGAGCACAGATTTGAGCTCCCTAAAACAGCACTTTTGGAATCCATATTTAGGACTTCTTGGCCACATGTGTAAATTAGCAAACTTAAGATAATTTCAAGAAGGATTCTGTAATTCATTATTAAAAGCATGGTTGATGAGCTTGAAAGAAAGAAGAGAGATGATTACTGTGCCCTAGCATGTATTTCACAAGATTGTCAAACTAAATTTTGTTAGGTTAGAATAACAATAATAGCTACCATATTCATTGCTACATTCAATATCGTAGAAGCCCTATAAGATAGCACTATGACAAGCTTCCCCAGCTTACAGATAAGGAAATAAGCTGAATGAGACTTAAGTAACTTGAGCAAGGTCACACTTCTTACTATTAAGTGACAGAGTCAAGGTTTGAACCCAATTCTGAGATTTTATTTTTTTTTTTTTTTTTTTTTGAGACGGAGTCTCACTCTGTGGCCCAGGCTGGAGTGCAGTGGCCGGATCTCAACTCACTGCAAGCTCCGCCTCCCGGGTTCACGCCGTTCTCCTGGCTCAGCCTCCCGAGTAGCTGGGACTACAGGCGCCCGCCACTTCGCCTGGCTAGTTTTTTGTATTTTTTAGTAGAGACGGGGTTTCACCGTGTTAGCCAGGATGGTCTCGATCTCCTGACCTCGTGATCCACCCGTTTCGGCTTCCCAAAGTGCTGGGATTACAGGCTTGAGCCACCGCGCCTGGCCCCCAATTCTGAGATTCTAGACTGCTCTTAAGCAGTACATTATACTGCCTCCCCTTAAGTCTATTAGACTATACTGGTCTGTTAATCAGAGATTTTACAATAAGTTGTATACTAGCTGGCCTCCTGGATGTTGTTCAGGAGAACATTAGATCTTGTTAAATAAATAAATCTCTGCTATTGTTCATATTGGAGCAGTTTACACAAAAATGTACATGTGAGAGTCAACTCTGTCATAAATCAGTAACTGCAACTTAGAGCTTTGCCTTTCTTACTTTGAAGTTGTGGCTAATATTTGAAACTGCCCTTAAATACATCTGTTTATAGTAGCCTAATACATAACAGTATGTCTCCAAAAAAGCAATCACATGGGCCACTTGTACTTCAGGTGCTCCGGAGGATGCCCACCTTTTTGCTGAACTGCCTTCCAGAGATCTCAAAGCCATTTGGCAGTTTCTCATAATGTCCTTGAGATTAAAATGGAGTAACAAGATGATAATGACAGGACAGTAGATGGGTTAATAATTTGAATTGACAGTGTTCAACAATATGGATATCAAAGTGAATGAAGGTTTCCAACCTCAGCTCTGTCCCATCAAAGTTGTTTTATAATGACTAGCAAGAACATATAAAAATAGCATGCCCATCCCATTGCAAATAATACAGAATTAGATGGCAGAATAAATGTACTTGGTATCACTAGCATGATCCAGAAAGTCCTTCGGGGCTGAGAAAAATAGCCAAATCTAGCAGGATTAAACTGAATAGGATCAAATATGAAGTCCTGTACTTATATCAAAAATTCAGGTACCAAGGGGAGGTAGTTATGTGGCCTAACAATCGCATATATGAAGAAGACTCTAGTTTTTTTTCTTTTTTGAGATGGAGTCTTGCTCTGTCACCCAGGCTGGAGTGCAGTGCACGATCTTGGCTCACTACAACCTCTGCCTCCTGGGTTCAAGCAGTTCCCTGCCTCAGTCTCCCGAGTAGCTGGGATTTCAGGCACCTGCCACCACGCCCGGCCAATTTTTGTATTTTTAGTAGAGACAGGGTTTTACCATCTTGGCCAGGCTGG